TTGGCATGAAACAGGTGAGAAGTCGATTGTTGGACCGGAGATGGTGTAACAAACGACGGAAAAGGTGAAGTTTATTCAGGAAAAGATGAAAGCTTTTCAGAATAGACAAAAGAGCTATCATGACAAGAGAAGGAAAGATCTTGAGTTTCAAGAGGGCGACCATGTGTTTTTGAGAGTTACACCGGTTACGGGTGTGGGTCGTGCTTTGAAGTCGAAGAAGTTGACTTCTCGTTTTATTGGTCCTTATTAGATTACTGCACGAGTGGGTATTGTGGCTTATCGTGTGGCGTTGCCTCCGAATCTTTCGAATTTGCATGATGTGTTCCATGTTTCGCAACTTCGGAAGGATATTCCGGATCCGTCACATGTTGTTCCTATGGACGAGGTTGAGGTGAGAGATAACCTTACAGTTGAAGTTTTACCGGTTAGGATTTTGGACCGTGAAGTTAAGAAACTTAGAGGCAAGGATATTGCGCTTGTGAAAGTAGCGTAGGGAGACGCTTCTGAAGGCAATATGACTTAGGAATTGGAAAGTGGGATGCGAGAGTCGTATCCGGACTTGTTTGAATCAGGTAATATTTTCGAGGACGAAAATTTCTAAAGTGGGGGAGAGTTGTAACGCCCCGATTTTGATTATTACATTTTATTGAGTATTTTATTTAATTTGAGTAATAATTGTGTTAATTGTGAATTTGATGTGTTAATATGGTATGTTTTGATATTTTACCGTTTCGGAGAGTTTCCGGGTAAAATTAGATTGGAGGGTATTTTGGTCATTTTACATTTAATAGTGAGGAGAGAAAATATAAAAGAAATAGAAATAGAAAGAAAGAGATATAAGAGTAGGTGAGAGGAAAAAAAAGAAAGAAAAAGAGAAATAGAGGGAAAGAGAAGAGAAAGAAGGCAGAAGGGAAGAAAAAGAGAGAAAGCTAGGAATTCTTCAAGAACACTTGCTAGGAATCGAATAATCGGGTAAGGGTTTGAAATCTTATTATCTTATCATTGTGTATGATTATGTATGTTTTGATTGGAATTGTTTGGTTGTTTTCGACACATTTTCTGTTTAGGTCGAATTAGGAAAAATCGATAGAAACCGCGGATGAAACTCGAAATAAATTGTGTAGTTTAGTCGGGTAATGTTTAGCCGTGATTAGTGAATTTTGTTTGATTGAATTCGGTTAAATTTGTGAGTTTTGACATTTTTGGATAATTGGAGGTTAAGATTTTGGATGAAAATCGGAAGTCGTAGAATTTGCGCTTTATGGTCCTAAATTGTTACTATATGATTGGTAATAATGAGTAGGTATTTAATCGGGAGAAAATAATTAAATCGGTCGGGTTTTGGGGGGTTTTTGGCACAAACCCATAGCTGTTTTGCCAAATTTTTCAGGTGTTAACCGGTTAACGCTATGGGTTAACCGATTAACGGTATTAAAAATGGCCAAAAACTGAGTTTTTGGAGCCGTTAACCGGTTAACAGAATGCGTTAACCCGTTAACGCTGTAAGTGTGAGAAAATATTATTTTTTTCGAAACTTTGAAAATTCATAACTTCTTCATCGTTTATCGGATTTTGTCGTTCTTTATATCAAACTGAAGCTAATAATATGTTCAATAACTTGGTGAAAAGAAATATTATTTTTAGCCGAATTTTAGCCAATTTTATCGATTAATCGAGATTAATTATTTTAAGTGGTGAGGCTTAAATAATTAGAGCATTCGGTTGCCGTTTGGCCTAATTGATGTGAATGCATATGGATGGTATGTGATAATATGAGATGAATGCATGAAGATATTATGTATATGTATGCATTTCAAGAAGTGTATGGAGTCATTTTGCATGTGAAGCATCATGATATACATTCTTGTGCTGATTGATTCCGCGTAGAATCTGCTGAATGATTATGTGCCCGTGTGGGGTGTGAGCAATTAGATCGTGTGCCCGTGTGGGGTGTGAGCGATCAGATCATGTGCCTGTGTGGGATGTGAGTGATCAGATTGTGTGCCCGTGTGGGGTGTGAGCAATCCTGAAATATCGTGTGCCCATGTGGGGTGTGAGTGATGGGTGAACATCGTAGGTCCGACGGGGAGTTATTTTGGTAACGAGCGATGGTTCCATTTGGTTCTTCAATTGAACCTGCTGAATGAGTCGATACCGCATTGCATCTGCATAGAGTCGTGAGTCGGTCTCTATGATTTGGATTTGTCATCCTTGTATGTGTGCATTGATGATTGAATCAACATTTATATGTATATATGTGATGTGGAATGATGAGAATAGCTTCATTATATTGATGAATGAGTGTAGAAGCATGAATATTTATATATATATATATATATATATATATGTGTGTGTGTGTGTGTGTGTGTGTGTGTGTGTGTGTGTGTGTGTGTGTGTTTAGAGGGAATGGTAAGGATTGTATCATTGTAATGATACATTTGGAATGAACATAAGTTGTGTGTTTATGTGAATGATGAAAATTGTGGAGTGTGCAGGATTGTTATGCCTGGATTATATATATATATATATATATATATATATATATATATATATATATATATATATATATATATATACACACACACGTTGTGATATATATGAGAGGTGTGATGTAGAGTCGTGGTGAGAATGGGATATGTGTATATGTTATATTGAGATATATAATTATAAGCAATATTATTATGATAATATTTCTCACCCTTCTGCTGTTTTATGGTGCCCTTGAGGCATTGCAGATTAGGTATGTTGGCGATCCTTTTTTGTGAAGTGTGTCTTCATTGTTTTGGTCAGATGGCTCTGATATGTAACACCGGGTAGCTACGAAGCCTTTGGCTCTTTTTGGTGATACGTTTGTATATGTATTTTTGGTTATGCATGTTTATGTAAACATGAATGATGTTGATGACTTATAATAGACGATGTGAATATGTATATATGTATATACATGCTGGTTGTGATTCAATGTTTAGATTTTCCGCTTTCATTCTAAATATTGAGATGTGGGTGTAAGGACTAAGTTCCTACAATGCCAAAGTTACCCCACTGTTGCATATCATATGTTGAGCAGGTGTTGTATGTTTTAATTTTATGAATAATGTGACATACCTCTTTTATACCATGTTTTAATTATACTCTGATGGAAACATTTAATATGTGCCTAAATGATTTAATTGATTGTTTGGGGGTATAGAAAGGGGGTGTTACAGAAGGTTCTGTGTTGGCTGCATTTTGTTAAAACATGTTGTTGCAACTATATGTTGTGCAAGATGTCTTGACATGTGGGTCAAACATCTCTACAGGTTGTGCAGTGTTAAAATACAGGATGTCAAATCTAATATTCTAACATGTTATCATAGAACTGAATAACATTCTATTTAGTTGTGATTTGTTTGTTTTTATATTTTAACAATCCTTTGTGCTATCCTGGTGAGAGATATTGCTGGCGCAAATCAAGGAGGATTTTTTCTTAAATAAAAGAGTTTATGTTGCGTATTTTGTGGAGTTTTTTAAGAATCTTTTGTTCTATTTTCATGCAGAAAATCTTGAGATGATTTGAAGTTTGATTTGATTTGATTTGATCAAATCTGATTTGGTTCTATTTTTATGTCTTTAATTATGAAAAGATTTGAAGAATTATCTGATTTGATTTGATCAAATCAGAGTTTGTTTTTGTTAATGCCCAAGCCCATTTGAAGTGTTTCTATATAAAGACTTTACAATCATATTTGAAGATCACAAAAGCTAGGGTTCAGAGTGTGCATTACTTGAGAATTAGGATTGTGGTTTGTTCTGTATTTTGTTAACTATGAGTCATTCATTCATCACTTAGATGCTTGAATTGGACTGAATTTATTGAGTTGTGATTTGTTCACTCTAAACTTTTAAGAAAGAGTGTATTATTCTTGATTGAAGTTTTTACGGAAGATCAATGATTATTTTTTGGAGTGTGTCTTCCATTACTCTTTATTGTTAAGTCTTATCACTGCTATTGTGATTGAAGAGAAGTGAGAGGGATTGCATATCTAGGACAGTCTTAGATAAAAGTTTCACTGGTAGAGATTAGGTGAAAAGATTGTAAACTTGAGGTTGTTTCCTGAGAATCTTCAAACTAATTATGTTTTAGTGGATTTCCTTTTTGCCTTTATAGCCTCCAGATGTAGGTGAGTTGCACCGAACTGAATTAACAATTGTTTGTGTTGTTTACTGTTTTTGTATTGTGTTTATTACCTTGCTCTTTAATTGATATCAGTTCAGATATTAGTGTCGTGACATCGCTTTCAACATCTTATATCTAATACTAAAATTTCATCTTGAAATTAGTTGAACATCAAATCAAATAGCATAGATTACAGCATAGCACTTTGTGCTTGAACCCAAGGACTTGTCTTATTGTCACTGAAATATAAATTAATCATGTATTTTGTAGTTCTTGGACTGGTGTTTTGAATTGCATTGCAAGAGATGTGGAGGGATTTTTGCAGTAAGTGCAATGTTAGCCGTGCAAATGTTAGCAGTGCAATGTGATTTTTGCATTTGATGGTGGCTACTATTTTACTGTGGATGGTGCTGCTATTGGTCAAGTTAGAAGTTTCGCTTCCAATTTTAAGAAAGATTTGGTCGTAAAAGTTTGTCTTTTTCTTTTTGCTGGAAACAGGGAGTGATGTTTGGTGCAATAGGGGCAAACCAGCCAGGTGTAAAGCTCCTATTAAGCCACGTGTCCTATGTTTCCATGCAAAGTAGCAAACTCTCCCCACAGCACCACGTAGCTTACAATGCTCCTTTCATTCCAAAAGTTCGAGGTTATAAATTCCCTCCACGTGCCAACCATCACAGAATATCACAAACAATCCTTCACAAACACCTATCCTCCACGTTACAACGCCCATACTATACCACATTAAAGAAAACATAAAATGAAACAACATAAGACCTTAAACTATCGAACAACATTCGCATTTTGCTCACTCACTCCAAAGTGAAGTGAGTGAGAAGAGTATAGAATGGCTGATGTTCCCATTTCGAGTGATAATATTGTTGGAACAGTATTATTACCAGATAAGGAACAAGAAAACTCTATCATCGTATCCACTCTCATTCAAGTTCTCTGCTCGACAAATAATGTTGATGTTCCTCCTAACCAACCAACTAAACGGGAATCAGAAGCAGCCACGTCATCATGTGGAAGTGGGTCCCTCCAGAACCAGTATGATCCTTACACGTGTCGTGCATGTAAAATCAACGGCTGTCTCGGTTGCAGGCTCTTCATTGAGAAAGAGAAAGAGGAGAAGAGAAAAAAGTACAGGGGAGTGAGGCAGAGAGCATGGGGAAAATGGGTGGCTGAGATACGAGACCCAAAAAGGGCCACTCGTGTTTGGCTTGGTACTTTTGCTACGGCAGAGAATGCTGCAAGAGCTTACGATCAAGCTGCTATTAAGTTTCATGGTGTTAGAGCTAAACTCAATTTTGAATCCTCTCATTGTGCTGTTACTGATGAAAACATGCAAAGTGCGAAAGTTCAGGAACATGTTGGCGAGATTGCAGCGATAAATCAAACAAAAACCACTAGCTTATCATTCGGATCAAGATGCGAACTAGACTAGAGCATGTAACATGCGAAAAATAAACAACAGCAACTTTGGTGCTGTGAGTTTCATGTTGAATAGGAGTAGATAATAAGCTCAACGTGTTACTTTATGAGTAAGTTTTGCTGCTAAAGAAAATAAGTTTAGTGTGGCACTTCACTCTAGTGTTACCACAATCTATCCCTTTACTTCATCGGCTAGTTTTAACAGTTAGACACTACTACATCTATTTCATTCAACTCTGCTAAAGTTACTTGGGTACAAGTTTTATTTTCTAAAATTTAAGAATTTAATTGAACATTTAAATTGAATATTTTAAAACGAATCAAGAGTGGAATAAAAAATTTCAATAGTTTAATTTGATGTTATAATGGAAGTAACCAAACTGTTATTTCTCTTCTATAAGATTATATTTTTATTTTGAGTTGTCCATCTTCTCCACCTGTCTTCAAGATGTACTGTTTCGGGACTATTCATTTCTCCTTTGTGTACCCTTGAGGTAAAAAGAACTAAATAACAAAAATGGTGTCAAAACAAAAGAGAGAAAGTTCGTTCGTGGAAGAGGTTGTGCAAGGATCCAAGAAATTCAAGTTGCAAAAGAATTTTGGCTTGGGAATATAATCACAAAATCACCATGATCGCTGAGTGCAAAACTAGAAAAGAAAACTAGCAATTGCCAAAACTGATACTTCCTTATAATAATGTTAAAAATTTACGAAGACAACGCTAATTAATAATTCCCATACCCAAAACCCAATAAATAACTTTTTTTTTCTGTCAACACAAAAAACAGATTGTCCAAGCTTGATTGCTATTGCAAAATGACAGAGTGACAACAATGACAGTGCTATCAAACCCTTCTTCCAGAGCCTTTATCAAGAAGACCAGTATAGAATCAGTTGTAGCCAGCAAAAATCTCAATCTAACACTCAACCTGCCCTAACCAAAGTAGAAGCTAATCAAAATTTTATTTCCGCCAGACCAATAATTTAACAACAAAGCTTCCATGTTTTCCTTTAATAGTTATTGCCTGTGCACAGACTTATGACACTGTTGATGACCCACTAATAGTCTGCTTTGCCACATAAATTTGTTTGACTTTTGCCGAGGAAAAGTTCTTATCCCCACCCATAGATTGGTTTCTTCCATGGTATCTACGATGGGACCATTCACCGCCAGAGCTATTTCTCTGAGAAACACCACCACCTCCTCTCTGATAATTACTATGTCCCGATGAATGATCATAATGCTGCTGCTGGGTAGAAGCGACGTTGATTTGTTGCGAGGGCTGAGTCCTGTAACCAGAACTTGCATTCTGGTTATTACTTTTGCTGCTATTTCCATTCTGAACATCAACTTTGGCAGCAGCATTTGTACTGGTTTTCTCAGATTGGGTCTTATTAATAATACCCTTGGATAAAGTCTTAGAAGCAGTGGAATTTGAAGTTTCCACTAATCCAAGTTCTTCAGGTAATTGGTTGACATTTACATCAGCTGCTCTAGAAAAATTCCTATCACTGTCGGAAGATGTTGAAGTCCGAGAACTGGTAAATCTTTTAACATTTAGTGGCTGGTCAACTGAAGGGCCATGGCTCATCTGAGAAGTTTGAACACTTTCTTGTTGATGCAATGGCATTGATAGTGGAATAGATGAAAGTGGTGCATTAGGAACATGTGGCCATCGAGCTTGCACTGACATCTCAGTAGAGTGCTGCCACAAAGTTCACACATTTGTTAGCTACTATTACACAAATAAAATACATCTTGAAAAGATAAATAAAAATAAAGTAGAATAAATCAATGCCGTTTACTATCTTTTGGGATAGAAGAAATTAAAAATAACTCGGTGACAAATTCCAAGAGGCCAAGACAGGTAAATCTTTATACCTGGAAAGGAGAAACATCATACATAGCCACAGGAGATGCCATTGGCAGAAGTGGTGAACCAGGAGCAAGATGTTGAATTTGAGAAGGCATGCTGGCAGGATTCCTCTGAGAAGATGTCATATTCATACTGTTCACATCCCCTTCACTAGTCCCAGCTGCAGAAGTTGTAGGGATGTGTTTCCAATCAGGCTGCTTTCCAGAGGGGATATAAGTCGTGCCCATGAAACTCAAGCCAACTTGACCAAATTGTCCAACAGGTGCAAAATGGTTATAAACAACCATGTGTGGAGGCCCTTGGACTCCTGGAATGCCTCCAGGCGGAGCAATAAAAGGTCCAGTAAATCCTGTTGGAGGACCATAAAAGGATTCCACGCCAGAATGACCCTGTTGCCAGCTCCCAATTGGCCTTGATGATGGTGCGGTAGTTTTTTGAGGTTGCGACTGTGTTGTAGATGCAGACTCATCATGTGGTCCAAAAGCAAACACGGGACCACCCATCATAGGATTCATTTCATAGAAAGGAAAATGAGAAGGTGGGCCAGAAGGAAAATGAGGAGGGACAGCAGGAAAATGTGAGATCATCTGGCCTGAAGAATTCTGTGCATTTGGTAAAGCAGGCCACAACGAAATTGGTGGTGTCTCAACAGATAAATCAGCAGGAAGAGATACACTAAGAGGCTCCTCAGATCTAGATTGGCTAGCAGATTGTTGCTCACGACCTACTCCTGCTAAAGTAATTAATACTATTAGATATATGCCAGAAGAAACAATAAAAACTAAACTGAAGTCTTATAATAAGGGAAAAAGAATCACCTGCTACTACCCTATCAATATCTTCAGCTACAAAACTTTTAGCATCTGAGACTGAGACAGAACAAGAACCCAACCTATTTCCAACGGTCTCATCACTACCAATGGCAGCAACAGCCACAGCAGAAGCAGCTGCTTCGGCTTCAGCTTCCGCATCACAATCTTCTAAATGGCCATGAGATTCATTACCACGCTTTCCTTTCTCAAAGAAAAGACTGCAATTACTGTCCGATTCAGCAAGGTTGTGGGATATTTGCATGTCTGATCTAGATGATCGAGGGGGACCAATACCATGAGACACACCACGGCTGCTAGGAGGAAGAACAGTTGGAGATGTCACTGCACCTGAAAGCAAAAAGAAATACATAAGTAGGGAAACTTAACATCCAAAAATATTACTTCAAACTGCAAGAAAGTACCCGTTCAATGTTATTATGACAAAATAAACAACAAATTCCAATACAAAACTAATTTTCTCACCAAATTGAATTTTCTCTCCAGCAAGCAACGAATTTATTGGACTGCCAGCAGATGAGAATGCTTTCTCTTTTATCAAAATGGATGGTGCTGGCAAGCTGGATTCAGTAACAGAAGCTTCCATATTGGCACTAGAAGCCTGTGAATCAAACTGCTGAGGCTTCATAGCCTCGTCAAGTTGTGTCTGTGTCAGCGCCATGACCTGTCATGCAATTTTTATATTCTCAAATCAAATAGAACACAACAAAATATAACTTAATGATGAAAGCTTCTCATCCTTAGATTATACCATTCTGACCCCCCAAACACCCTGCAAAGTATGACTTTCTTCTCCTTCATTGCCTTTGTTACCAGTTTTGCAATGTGATTTTTTTATAAATGGGTTTAACCATTGTGATTTTTTTACCAGTTTTACAATGTTTCAATCTCAAAATCTCTGGGATTTCATCCTTCATTGAATTTTTATAAAAAAAACTGGAATAATTATAAGAAAAAAACCCATAGATAATTAACCAAAAAGTGACACCATTTATTTAAACAAGGTTGATAGGCCAGGCAAGATTTTACACTAGCTTTTGCACAGTAACAGGGATGGATAGCATGTGTTGAAAAAACATGGAAGTACAAGAGACAAAAAGAGTTATTTGATTAACAAGCTTCATTCCATTGTATACTTTCCCAAATTGGGGGAAATGAAAAATAGGAGATGATGGAATGTGATGGAATGTATTCCATCATACTCCATATCACTCCAATCACTTTTAAAAAACCAAACAGTGAAATGTAACTCAATGCCACTCCATTCCATCAATCCAAAAATAGCCTAAGTTGGTAGTGAAAAGACATCTGACTCCCTACAGATATAATTACTCAGTTAAGTAGAATGTGTTGGATTTGAGGAAATTTCTAGGAGATCGCTTAGGGTTTGTTTGGTACACAGCAGGATAAGGTTTGATAGTACAAGACCTCATTATATAAAGCCTAGTTGTTAAGACAGATAAAAAATTTAAGTGTGCAGTGTTTTGTCCAACTTCGTAAAAGGAAGTTGAAATTGATGACGGACCATGGTGGAAAGCCAAATCTAGCCAAATTATTATGTATGAGGGAGTTAAAGACTTAAAGTAATAATTTGAAGTAAAAAGCAAAAGCACAAGAGATAATTAGAAATTATGGCATTTCCATTGCCATTGTAATCTTAAAAAAGGAAGTGAGAGTTCAAACCTGCTGGCTAATTTGCACATTTCCCCAAGAGCCCAAAGATGTCTGAACATTTTCATGGACCTTGTTCTTGCTTTCACGACCAGAAACTGATGGGAGGCTTGTATGAAGTGATCTGTAAAATGAAAAATAAGATTGACGTTTCTTGTACAGTTACAGCCATATGAACATTTACAAGACTGCAACTACCTGTTCGTTTGAGATCTTAGATCAGGCTGGGCATCAATTTTTGTAGTAGGTGTGCCTATAGGAGGTAGTGCCTGGGACAGTAAGTTTGGATTATATCCAGATGAGGAATCACTCTTTGTCGTTCGGTGCCCATCGGCAGCAGCAGACACTTCTCCAGTAGAAATGGATCCTTTGCTTGAATTGGCCATGGTCACAGTGCTTTGTGAGGCGGAACGGGTTTTCCGTGGCAACTAGTATAAAACAAAAACACAAATATAAAAGATGAACAATAAAATAAGATTATTCAGATAGATAGGAACTAGGAAGGTTATATACCTTGGCAACACGAGATTTAGCCTTGATTTCTTTCTCTCTTTGCTCTCGCCGATCATTTATCATTTGCCTCTTTGACCTGACCTCTATGAAGTCGTCTTCATCACTGGGAGCTTCAATTCCAG